TGTTCCCAACAAAGGATGAATCCGAAACCTCCAGAGCGAGCGGTGAGCCGCTCACTCAAGGAAGTATATAGTCCGGAATGCCGTTCTTCCAGCCTATCCCTGGGATAGCACTGTAGGCAGGCCACACCCCTGGGGAAACTCTCCCCGGGCAGACCGGCCGCTCAGAACCCAGTCGTGTGATCCATCATGGGAACCACCACTCACAACTGGAGCCCAGCCAAGTTGACACATCTTCAACTATCACACCGTGTATGCAAGCATGATTCAACATTAGAAAAACAACCAACGTCACCCATCACATAAATAAAACAAAGGAAAAGAACCACATGATCATATCAATCAATGCAGAAAAGGTATTTGATAAAATTCAGCACCCTTTCCTGATAAAAACTCTCAACAAAATCGGAATAGAAAGGAAATTCCTGAAGATGATAAAGGGCATATATGCAAAACCAACAGCCAACAGTATTCTCAATGGAATTTTTTTTTTTTTTTAATTGTGATTTGTGTGCAGATTTACAAAACAGTTTCGTTTGACTCTCACCAGTTAATGCACATTTGGTTTCGTGGTCCCGATTACAATCCCAATGCTAAAAAGCTCTCTTCTCATCTTCACCCTATGACTACCCCTTCCCTGTTCCCTTCTTATGGATACATTCCTGTCTGTCCAGCTCTCCCTCTATGCAAATACTGCCCTTCTGTTGTTTCACAATTGATTGATCCAAGGGATACATCTCCCCGGGATAGATGTTCTACATGTAGGCTTTTTTACTGTTTGGCTGAGAGCTGATCCATGGAAGTGAGTCTAGTTCCAGCTCCGAAGGATAACTCAAGACTATAGTCTCGGGGGTTCCACCAGTCTCTGTCTGACCAGTAATTCTGGTCATTTTTGTGGTTTTGTGGGTATGTTATGCCAATTGAGCTTGATGTCCCCTGTGACTATGGTCCCAAGCCCGCAGGATCAACTACTCGGTCCCTCTGGGTAGCTAGCTGTGACCAAGC